GCCTGACTACATGGTCTGTGGTACTTCTTCCATTCCTAAATGCACACTGATATTTAGACAACATATTGTTCCGCTCAAGAAACCAGGATAACCGTCTGGCGACCATTCGTTCCATTATTTTGCTAAAACATGAAGTTAGCTGAATTGGTCTATATGACTCAGGGTTTTCCCTAGGTTTGCCTGGTTTCAAAATAGGAACAATAATCGAGTGTCTCCATTCATCAGGGATATCACCTCCACACCATATGCAGTTCATCATTTCCAAAATTGAATGCAATTGTTCATCAGGTAGGTGTCTAAAAAACGCGTAATGTATCTCATCCGGTCCAATGGATGTATTGCCGCATTTAGCAATAGACATTTGTAGCTCAGTCATCGTGAATACATCATTATAAACCTCCTCATTGTCAGAAATAAATGACGGCATTTGATCCATCATCTGCCATTCCAGCTCTCTAAAAGTGGCTCGGTAGTTCCGAGAGGACGACATGTCAGAAAACAACCGTCCGAAGATATTTCCAACTTCAGTTGGGTCGTCAATTATGTTACCAGCCACCTTCAGAACAGGTAAGGGTCTCGCAAATCGCTCCTTTCTGGTAAATTTCCTAATGATGTCCCATAAGTGTTGTATCGGCGTATTCACATTGAACATATGCAATAGTTTTTCCCACGAATCTTTCTTTGCCGTACGAATTATCCTTCTGGCTTTCGCCTTCGCCTCCTTATAAGCCAATAAATGCAGATGTGTGTGCGAACGTCGGAATCGATTGAGCGCCCGTTTCCTTGCCCGAATTGCCTCCTTGCACTCGTCAGTCCACCAGGGGCAGCTATATTTGGTGTTTCTGATTTTCCGAGGAATACTTTCTTTTGCTGCTCCCAGCATAACCTTCGTAATGTTTTGGTAGTTTTGCATACCGTCCCTTTCATTGAATCGCAAACAACATCTGTCAGTAAATTCAGACCAGTTCGCCTTGTTAATATTCCAACCAGTAAATTCGTCACGTCGTGGTGGAATATCTCCATACCTATCATATGTAATATAAACTGGGAGATGATCACTGGAGTGTAAGTCAGTGTCCGTTTGCCAATGCATGAATTGTCCCACACTGCTTGACGTCACAGTCAGGTCGATATGTGACCATAATCCTGTGTACTCGTCCATTCTGGTTGGGGAACCATCGTTCATCACTTTTAAGGCATGTTGCCGTATTATCATTTCCCACACCTTTCCACGAGAATCGCACCGGTCTGCACCCCATAAGAAATGCCGACTATTGGCGTCCGTGTTTATGATATACGGCTGCGGTAGCTGTGTAACCAAGTCGTTCAGTTCAAGGTACGTCAAATTCTCGTTTGGTGGTAAGTATAAAGAACAAACACAAATACGAGAATGCCCCATTGTCACCGAACATGCCACCGCCTGAAAATTAGTATTTAGTGTGACCTGAAAATGAGGTAGGTCGTTGCTGACGTAGATTGATGCTCCGCCTCGTCTAATATGTGCGTCAGAATAAGCGTTATAAAGAGTATATCCGGGAATTCTGAAATCATATTGGTCAGTAGGGAGGAAGTGTGTCTCTTGGAGACATACGGCACTATGTGGTCTTGCCAGCAGCAGTGGTTTTATCTCCGCCCACTTTGAAATCACACCTCTACAGTTCCACTGCATAATGCTGAAAGTCATTTTATTGTTGCCTTAGACTGCAGACTCCGTCCAGTCAAGCACACACGCCGACAACAGTTCGACATTTATTGAACTTTTAAACTTGAACATCAGAAAATCACGCGAGTAGCCTGTACCGCGTACCATATCCCCACACACAAACATACAACCAATGCGCAGCCCGAACGCCGAAATCCAACAAAGGACCGCCACCAAAAACATGAAAAAATCAGATAAATAAATTAATAAATATGCCAAACATCGGTATGTACTACTTGTCCTGTAACTGCGAACAAAACATCTCAGTACATACACATTTCCCTTTCCCTTATTCCCCTCCCCAGCCAGCCCCAACCCCGCGGTCGGAACCAGGCGCGCTCCGGCCGGTCGAGTGGAAATAGCGCCTGTACCATTGCCCCCGGCAAGGATCACCCCGCACCCTCCGAAGGGTGACCTCCACGAGACAAACAACCTCAGCTCGTCCACCCCCCTGACCCGAATTAGGTATCGCACCTGGATGTTTAACCTTACCTCCGAGAACCAAGTGGGCTGGGACTAGCCCAACCGGGCGACCTCTGCTCAAACCGAAAACGCAGCTGCCTCCGGAAAACACCATGAACTCGTTATTTAAGTCTCCCTCAACTTTGCAAACCATTTCGCATAACAATCCCGGCATTAAGGGTCCTAAAATAACTATGAAAACAAACACCACCGACCTCTGCATGCCCTCCGCACGAGAACAGTTACGTGGAGAACGTCTGAATTTGCTGGCCTATTCATTCAAATATTCAACATACCTGTCAACCAATCACCAACAAACTATTCAGCTATTAACAAAGAAGAAAGAAACGTGGTTCACTCCATTTCAATACTAGTTAGTCTTCCTTCCATGACCTCCTTTGGCTGGAGTTTCTCTTCGGCCTCTCCGTAGATCTCCCTGCTCGGCTAATCATTGGTGATGGGGTAGTGTCATTAGGTACCTCAGATATGTTACATTGTTGTTTGTCCTTTTTCTTTGCCCTACATGCTCTCTGCCAACCCTCCATCTCCTCATTATGCTCCACAGTCATATGATTCATCTCCCTGTCCACTCTTTCACTTTCTACATCATCTCTCTGCATCACTTGAACCTCTCCATCATTCCTCCTCTCATAGGTTTCCTGCTCATCTTTTTGAGTGTCCTTCTGTCCCTCTGCTATAACATCCACCTCAACTTCCTCATCCTGTCTACCTACAGGTCTGGTACTGTCATCCCTCCCCCTGGTATTCCCCTGGGCACCTTGTTTCATCAGCAGTTGCTGAAGCAGAGCAATCATCTCACCCACCTTTTCTTCCAGTTTTCCTACTTTTTCCCTGAGGTCATCATGCTGCTTGTTAGTGGGAGCCACACTTGGGTGCCGGACAGTTGCAGCATATGACTTCAGGACAGGGGGGTCATGCTCTTTTTCATATTGCCTTCTAGCCTGAGGGTATGAGAGTTCTTGTTCAGTTTTAATCTTACATATCTCCTTTTCTTTTTTCCATATTTCACACTCTCTGGCCATGCATGAGTGTCCTGACTGTTTGCAGTTCACACACCAGCGCTCACATTCCCCTTCATGCTTTCCTTTCCCACAACGAAGGCATAGAGGATCACCAGGGCATCTTGTTTCAGTGTGGCCAAATCTGCCACAACCAAAACATATCAGTGGGTTGGGGATATATTGGTGGACATGGTATGTGATGTAATCTAGCTCCATTTTGGCTGGGCATGAGGACCTGTCAAATGTCAAAAGTATGGTTGGGGTATTCTCCGTCTTTCCATCCACCCTCTTGGTGAATCTCCGAGCACCCACTACCCCAAATTCACCCAGCCATCCCACAATCTCGGTCTCGGACAAATCTACAAGGTCATATGCAATGATGGTTCCCCTGGATGTGTTCATTCTTTGTTCCCGAACAACCTCACACTCCTCATTCCCAAACTTTTTGTTTTTCATGAACTTTTCAGTCTGTCCATGATTTTTGGTTTTTATCAGAAGGCTGCCTGCAGCCAGAAGATTCGCCTTTTCAACCTTCTCAGAGCCTCCCAGAACTCCTCTCACGCACATCTGGATCCATGGCCAACCTTTGGACTTGAATGATTTCCCTGAGTTGAGTGTTATTTTCAGGTATGAGCCTGAGGATTCCCCCCCTACCTGAGAAAAGAAAAGTTCATCTGTACGCACTCGCTTACCGGGTCGGCTCGGCCCAGTCATCTTCACTTCACTCCATCACCACCAAGAAGAAAGAACATTACACTGAGATTCACCCGAAGTCTTGAAACAGGAAGAAATTCAGAAGTAAATTAAATGTGACCCCACAGAACTCGCTTCCACCGTTCGTATGGCCTGTCAAAAATGCTCTACACTTATCCAGACACCAACACGCGCCACCCCAGACGGCCGGAACGTGTTGGCTTCAGCAGTACTCGAACGCGAATGACGTGCCTGCAAGCACAATCCCACACACGTCGCTTGGGGCGTCGCAATCAACTCGTGAGTTGGTTATATTTCCAAACGGCGCAGCGGAACATGTTGAAACACTGCCGTAATTCACTTCGCTACAATATCACAGCGATCGTGTGATGTTTATCAAGCATAGAACCGACTTCTCGCACGAAATTCTGCATTTTTGCACTTCCTTGCCTCCAAGACTGCCACTGCACGCATGCTTGACACGTACAACCATCTGAAAGATTTTTGGAGGGTGTATAAGCCCGGTGCGTAACCGCCCTACGTTCTGGAGGGTGTATACGCACAGCCACGATAATACAGGGGAATGTGAATGATTTTCATTTCGACGATACATAGACACTACAAGTGGGACATTTCGTCTCGAGCAGGACCAGCTTGTGCAAAATTGCATTTACTTGAGACGTGCCTCTTATGTTTTAAACTTCGTGTACGGCCAAAACAGGGCCAGACCACGATGAGCTAGCCACTCATGATCTACATACCGAAAAGGGCGAATTCCTATCGACATTCGGGAGCTCAATCTACTGGGATGCTGCTGCATCAGACTGTGGGATAGCTGGGATAGCATCCCACTGTTACCACCACCTGTTAGTAATGGTCAGCCAACAGCCAACCCAGCCACTGAGCCCACGAAAGTAAATTTGTATACCGGTCTACGTTCTTTCAAAACCTTTTTCCTGAAACGGGGCGCATCGCCACCTCTGGCTGATGCCGTAGCCCAACGTTGCACGTGCGCGAGGAGCTTTCTAGAAAAGGCATTATTGGCTATTTCTAGGCCCCAGCTGGTCTAGATGGTCAGGACTTAGGCTGCATTTTTAGTTATGGCGATCTGGCAGCGCATAGTGCTGATGCCTGCAATGTTAATGGTAGTGCGGGTGATTGGTACAGGTTTGGAACAAATTGCATGCGAAGATCGCAAGAGGTGTGTAGTTGGAGATCTGTACACAGCCAAGGGCAGTTGGAAGTTGATTGAGATTTTAGGGCGGACAAAATTCTGAACTCTTGACGGATTTCACACCCTTTCAGCGCTGGCATTCTGAACAACTCTGGGTATGAGGAAACAACTGACAATTACACCTTTTTTTGCTTTTCCCACAGGGACATACAAAAATAAATAAGCATGTCTAGATCAAAGATGCGGTTGTGCTGTTGGCACGTTGCATGTGCACATGTATTCAAAACATGACAGGCTGCAAAAATAAGACCTGGTTTCTGGGTGTATCATTTTATCTGCTGATTGCATCATGAGCACGAAATGTGGTAAAGAAGCAAATATACATGAAGGGATTAAAGGTACAGGATCAAGAATATCATTATTCGTGATATGGGCTATGGTAGAAACTTATTTATTTAGTGCCGTAGGCATTTTGGGAGACAGTTTTGGATGCAAAAGGCTGCTTACCTGCTCCAGCTCTGATTATGATGAAAAACTGTTGGATATTTGTTTTTAATCACTTTGATATTGATGACATAATTTGTTTCACCCCAATGTGACATTGTTTTGCCAAAAAACTGCCCTTGGGAGCCTCTTACATTTCATATAAAAGGCAGGCCACCAAACAATCATGTGCAGGTACACCATATAGGTATTTATTAGATGCTTGCCATGTTAAATCTATTTTGTGTAGACTGGTATGGGTGCAGCATGATGCATCAATAATCCAAATTGTCTAATTGCCCAACCTATTGCATTTAGCTAACAGATGATCTTAAATGACTTATGGCTCATGGCTGGGTCCTAATAAATTTTGGCTCATGTCTGGGTCCTAATAAATTTTGGCTCATGGTTGAGTTCTAATATATACATGTGAGTTCAAGGTAATAATTTCTTGCATGCATTATGGAACTGAAATGGTGCAGATTCTTTCCAAGCATGTCCTCATTGTGGTTTAAGCTTAAGTAATAAAGAAGCATAACTGGTGAACATTTAGGCAGATTTATTCCTGGTCAAGTGAGTTACTAGCCCCTATTTGTAATTGTGCTTTAGATTGCAGTCAGTTCTCTGACATATCCCTGTTAAAATGTTTATCTTATTTGTATATCTGCTGTACAATTCAGTTCATGATGATGTTTTACTTTGATAGATCCACTTACCAAAAGCATGCAATGTGATAAGCCTTTGTTTTCTGAGTATCACTTATTAAGTGCAACCTGTCCCTGCTTGGGCACTGGGCTTGCACCAAGTTGGCCAAATCAGTTGGGGGGTCCTGAACAATGGGAAATGAAGGAACTTTCCTGTAAGATATGCAAACTAGCAGGTTTCCTGCCACATTTTGCCCCCTTCCTCCCAAAATGAGGGGCTGAAACACTGCATCTGAAGAGGAACCTACATGATCTGGCATTGGGTGTGATAACATAATTCAGAAGAAATGTGATGCAGCTGCCTTATGCAAAACTGTTTGATTCATGTTACAGCAACTACAAATGTGACACTCAGACATCAGTGCAAGTGATCACAAGCTGTATTCTGAATATGGAATGATTGTTGACAAAACACTTAAAAGTGCAAAACTTATGTTTTTAAATGTGCCTTATTCAAAGCTTTCTTGTTATGAGTAGATGCCTGTTTATAAATCATAAACCATATCTCAGGCTGATAAATGAAAATGGTATGGAAATATTGCATCCATAATTGACCAGTTCCATGTAGCATCTGTATCAGTACCTTGCAGTAAAAGTAAGACACTATCAGTATCCTTGGATCTACAACCATCATGTTGATGATCAGCAAGGTAACATATCATTTGAGTGCATCCCATGAAACAAATATTTCAAAATATGGGATTCTGGAATAGATAGCTAGACTGTCTGCAATTAAGCATGCATCTATACCTCATTAACTACCCACATACCAAAAATGCACAGAAGTCCTTGGATATTTAGCACTTAGGATTCCTTCTGACCTCTGGTGGTTTTATTCACTATTTAAGGGCAACCAAATTTTGAAGGGATATGTAAAGGTTGTGACTGTAAAAAGTCATGAAAGCATGATGCAAGAATGCAGCAATGAGGGGAACCAGCAGGGGTGGCTCCCTCCACCACACTTAAAAGTTTGGAGGCTGTACCTCCCTACTTGGAGAGCCTGTGGAGGTACCATTCAGGAGGGTGTATAATTTGCCATAAAGGGCATATGCTGGCCTGTAGAGGCATTTACTCAGGGCTTGAGGGGGCTAATTCTGCCATTAAAGACCATATTTCAACTCAATGAAGGTTGATTTTGATCTGCAAAAGTCCTTTTATTGGCTTAAAGAGCTAACTATCTAATCTTGTGGGGCTTATTTTGACATTTTAAAGTTTGCCCCCAATGAGCATAGTTCCCTCACCCCTGGCATCAGGCCATTCTCAAATGGTTCAGGGACTGCAGATGATGTGCCTGGGAGGACCCTTTCACTCCCCTTCCTTTCACACACAAATCTGATGGACAGAGATCTTGCCATTGGTGGTCTTAAACAAGATCTTACCAACTAAATCTGCTGGAGACATGGAAGTGGCAAGATTTATGCTTGGGAAGCTCAAATTTTCTTCAAAGCCCAGCAAATTTGGACCAAATTTCTTTAAATTCTCCTTTATCTAGTGTAAACCTGCTGACTTGGGAGCGAGGGCAAGCCTCTGTGCCTGTCCCCTCATTTATGTCCCTGGCTGAAGAAACTCTTTTTAGATCTTGGTCCAAACTGTTGATTGGATGGATTTCTGGGAGCAGGGACCACACTAATTAAAGCTTGTTGCATGAGCCCAAGCTACATTATCAGATCATAAAATGCCAGCTCAGCAGCAGAACTTTGTGATGGAAGCTTATCTCACCACAGCTTGTAGTTTCAAGAACAGTTTGTTAATTCTGATGCAAGTAGTCGTGAAGTGCATCTGGTCATCCAATTTTTTTTTTGTACACAGGGTTTTGAAATATTGAAGTCAGTTTTAATATTTAGATTTCATTTTGCACCCTTTTCAGCTTTCAAAGTGGTCACTAACAACTGTGTGCTTCTTAAGCTCATTTATGCATAGCAAGTAATGAAACGACCACATATCTCTGTTTCAATTTCAGATAATGCAGTCATGCAGCACTTAAGGGTGTCACTGGAAACAAACAGCTTCAAACCATTTGGTGTTCCTATGCTGAGGCCACAATTTAGGCAACTCGGACCTGTTACACAGGATTTCATCACTCCTTTCAATGGTAATATGATAAAACTTCCAAAGCACTGAAGTCAAACAATCATTGCCCTTGGTGATCTGTGTGGTTTTGACCATAATGCTGTCGCTTGAGTGGGATTACCTCGCCAAGATTTGTGTCTTTTCCGGGGGTAATAATCATTGAACCTGTAAGTAATGGCAGGTGTGCTGTGTTCTCCAGGGGATCACTGCTGAGTCTGCTGAATCTGGTGACAATGCTGAGGAGTAACATCTTTGTTGGCCTTGGGAGAGCATTGAGAGGTGGGTACTTCGCTGGCTCCTGCTATCTTATCGATTAAGTCATGGCGCACTGCCTTTTAACGTAGTTGTCTTTTTCATGAGATAAATCGTCCAATGGTGATGAGCAGAAGCCTCACTGCGGTCTGCAGTAGCAATGGAAACATGGTTGGGGTGGGTGGTACTTTGGCCTGCATCTTTGCCTCAGACCTGCTCTGGGTTTCTGTCATCTGCCTGTCGGCGAAAGTCGTAAGCACGGGCCTGCCTCACCATGATCTCCATTGCTGTTGCAGGCTAGTCTGCACGAGCTCCGCCCATCCCGGGGAGCGTTGTGGGTGTTTGGCGCGCGGCTATGGCGCAGTTGAGCGCCGGTGTCGCCATGGAGACGGTGAATGGCGGCGGCGGCGGCGGCGGCGGCGGCGGCGGCGGCGGCGGCGGCGGCGGCGGCGGCGGCGGCGGCGGCGGCGGCGGCGGCGGCGGCGGCGGCGGCGGCGGCGGCGGCGGCGGTGGCGGCGGCGGCGGTGGTGGCGGCGCCACCTCATCAGAATCGCCGTTCCTCAAGTCGATGGGCCAGCACCTGGAGACGGGCACGCTAGCGGCGGCGGCCTCCTACCTGGAGTCGCACCCGGCCCAGGTGCAGATGCACGCCATGGAGCTGATCGACGCCGTCATGATCCGGCTGGTGGACCAGGCGGCTGACGAGGACCTGCTGGACGGCTGCGTCGCGCTGCTCTCGGCCATCGCGCGGCTCGCCAACCGCAAGGAGGCGCTCATTTGCCTGCTGGAGAAGGGCGAGATGTTCAAGGAGGACGTCTGCTTTAAGGCGCTGCTGCCGCCGCTGCAGATCGTGCTGTGTCGTGAGCCGACCAAGCGCGGCTCGTCGCTGGCATGGGCCCTCAGCACGCTCTACACGCACATCGCGTCGGTGCCGCTGCCGCGTCAGTACGCGCTGGAGGGCCGCGAGCGACTGCTAATGTACCACGACCCGGACGTGGTACGCCACACTGAGCTGCAGTGCGCACTCACGCCCTTCTTTCGGCCGTTCGTCGACGAGATATCGCCGCTGCGCACGGCCGATGCCGGCACGGCGGCCGGCCTGCGCGCGAGAGAGCTGCTTTGCTGCTATCTGTTCAAGTGTCTGGACCGGCCGCTGGCCTTCCTCGACCTGGCCGCGTGCGGCGAGTGCGTGCCGGATGTGCGGCGCAGTGCCGATCAGCTCATGGCGTACGTCGGCGCGCTACAGTCCAATCCGCTGCGCCTCTTTGCGCTGCTGTCGGCGGCCAAGTGCGCACGCACCAGCGAGGACGAAGAGGAGCGCTTCGACGAGGGCAGCCTTGACTGGCGCCAGGAGCTGCGCGTCTCCAGTCTGGCGCTTGGCACCTACATGTACATGCTGTGCGCCGAGCAGGTCACGCTGAAGACGGCACCGGCCGTGCTCTGTCCCGCCTACGTTACGCGCATCTCGCTGCCGCTGTGCGTCACGCTGCTGCGCCGTCGCGAGGAGTGCGCCGCGCATAAGGGCGCACTGCTACTGCGCGCGCTGCTGGCGCGGCTGGCACCCGGCCTGCTGGGCGCGCGCCAGCTGGACGCGCCGGCGCACACCGACCTCACGGCCGCGCTCATCAACGTGTCCGTGTTCAGCCAGGTGGGCGAGCTGCGCGCGCTGTGCGTGCGCCTCCTCACCGACTACGTGGCGCGGTTCTGTGCGCACGGCCGTTTCCTGGTACTGCGCAACCTGCTCAACTCCAACCACAACCCGAGCGTGCTGGCCTTCGTCACCGGCCTGCTGAAGGAAAACATTGCGGTGGCGCTGAGTGGGCGGCGGCGCTGCTCCTGGTTCTCGGCGCCGGCTGTGACGCCGCTGGTGCGCGCCGCCTGCCGGCTGCAGAGCGGCCCCACCACCGACCTGCTAGAGAACCACAACCAGCTGATGGCCGCGCTCAACCTGCTGCGCTTCGTGCTGACGCGCGACAAGGAAGACGTGTGCGGCGTGCGCGCGCGCGCCGACGAGCTGCGCGCCGAGTTTCTGGGGCCGCTGCGCACGGCGCTGGACCTATCGCGCGGCCACTTCCGGCTGCGGCTGCGCGAGCTGGCCGAGCAGGGTCGCGCGCCGCCGGGCCCGGCCGTCGAGCTGAGCGTGGGCGGCCAGACGCTGAGCGGCCTGCCGGCAGAGCAGCAGCGCCAGACGGTGGAGCTGGCGCTCACCACGCTGGACCTGATCGGCACCGTGCTCGGCTGGGTGGGCGAGAGTCTCGGGCCGCGCAGCTAGTCCGCGCTGCCGGGCCGCCGGCCGTCGCCGCCCGCGGCAGGCGTGTGTGTGCGCTCCGCCCCGCCGCACCGCCGGCCGACCGCCGAGCTTTCTCGGCGGTCCGGACGCTGGTGGCCGTTTGTCTTGCCGTGCGCCGGCGACGGTGTTGGCGCGCGCGGTGCTTTCACTGAGCCGGCCTTTGCACCTTTCTACGTGGTGTTTAAAGGATTCGCCGTCGTTCGCCCGAAGGGCAGTAACACGTTTGCTTTCATATGTTTGTTCCGCGCACTCGGCGCCTAATAGTGAGGGATGGATCGTTTCTGAGCGAGTTGAGTTGCTGAAGTTGCTTCCAGTCATATTGGCGAAACTAACTCCTGTGGTTCTCAAGACCTACAAACCGGGCTGTCATTTTTACTGCATCGATTTGGGTGAATATAAGTGTCATGTTGCGTCTTGCACCATTTGTGCGCATACTTCCAGACTAGAAACACGAAAGCCCCGCATCGGTGGAAGGTGCTGTTGATTAATATGTCTTCACTGATATCCTGAAGTACTGGAACACTGGACGCTCTGTGTTATCCACGCGTGACGTCCTTCACCACACCAGGATATCAGTCGTAGAAGCACAGCACGTGGTCTAGCGAGTTGACATATTCCGTCCGCGTGTCCGCCGACGGACGCTTACGAAGGTGACAGATTTACCAACAGGTCTCTGATATCACATAAGCAGTGCAACTGCTCTGCAAACGAAGAAGAAGGGTATCAGTGTAGGTAACAGCTAATAAAGCTTGCCGGAAGCTGTGTTTGTCGTAGGCTGCGCTGTGATCCCGATGTTTGAAAGTATACTGACATCTCGCCCCTAACTGAATGAAGGCAGACTGGACTGATTTCACGGAGGTATTTCGTGCTTTGTGTCCAGTGGGCAACGCGAATACCGTAGAGAAGTCACTTAGTAAATGCGTGGCTTCTGCGCGGGTACATCTTGCCGAAATCGTATCTGGATGCGTCTCTCTTCTCTGTCGCAGCGCCGCTCAACCCGCCACCTACTGGCCGATGGGCTCGCCGACGCTGTCTGTCGACGGCCGGCGCTCGTCGCTGCGCTGTGCCGCCGCCCCATCCCACCGGCGAGCTCGCGTTCGAAGCGCCCCGCACCGCTCCGCCGCCCGCCGAGGAGAGATCGGCGGGGTCAGACGCCTCGGGCCAGTGGTCAGGAGCTCGGGCCGCAGGCGGACGGACGCCGCCGCCATCCGGCGACGGTCCAGCCGAGCAGAGGCGGCGGTCGGGCGGCGCGGGGACGGGCACTGAGCTGCACCGTCAGATCCTGGAGGCCAGCCTGCCGCTGGTGACCGAACTCGGCTGGAGCGTCGAGGCACTGGCAGCAGGTGAGTGGCCGCCTCAAACTGGCGTGTGGCTCGGGTCCGGGGCCCGGACATCGAGTCGTGACCGTCTGTTGTTGGGAAAACGATCTTGGAATCGGTCATCAAGATTCCAGTTGGGCGTCTCCCCTCGTGTCCCTGGAGTAGATCTGTTATGTCAGCGTGTAGCGCATGCTGGTCGCGACATGTGATGCAGCAAAAATGTTCACGCTAATGCAAGAACGCTTGCACTTCGGTGTGTGTCATGCGCTGCTGTGAAAGCACAAAGCGACGTTCGAGTCTGGTTGCAATTGCGTAGCTTGAGAGTGTTTATACAACAGCTCAACCCGGTGTAAAACACGATCCTAGATTGTTTTGCGTTGTCTGCGCGTCAGTTGGGCAGCCGCTACCGCGTTCCTGTGCCTCTGTGACGTATTGACTTGTGTGACCCACGATGGACTTGCGGCACGAGGCCACGACGTGTCCAGTACTGGAGACATATGTGCCGGGCGTAATGCCCTGCGCGCGCTCCGAGCCAGGCGCCGAGTCGCTGGGCTTACCGGACGTGGCGCACGGCATGTTCCCGCATGGCGGTGTCGAGCTGGTGCACCATTTCTACGCCGCCTGCAACATCCAGCTGGTGGCGGAGATGGCGGAGCGACGCGACAACGAACAGACGTCGGACTCGTCAGTCGGGGGCGCCCGGGCCGGCGAAGAGAATCCCTTCGGGCTGTTTATGGAGGGGGGGGGGGCTGGAATGGTCTCACGTCTGGTTGACACTGCCAGTGGTAGTGGAACAAACCGCGCAAACATCAAGCAAACACTGTAATGCGATGCATCTCCATGACAGCATCAGCACCTGATGCTTGTCTGAGCTCTGCGCGGATGTGATGCTCATGCCCAGTGCTGCGTTCCGCCATCGCCGCGCGGCTCCGGCGTCACCACGTGACACGCTGTGCAGGCCGGCGGCCATCACGTCTGCACCCGGCCGTGACGCGTTGCGCTGTCGGCAGCCCGGCCCCGCTCGGCACGCAGGCTTTCATCCGGTGGGCGGTGGAGCGGCGCCTGCGCATGGTGGCACCCTACCTGGCCCGCTGGCCTGAGGCGCTGGCGCTGCTGGCGCTGCCCACCAATGCGCCGGACGCGCTGGCCAACTTCGGCGCCCTGCTGGACGACGTCTGGTACTACGCCGGCGACCGGTCAGCGGACGTGAGTCGGTCGGTCCGTATCTGGCTGTGTGTGTGTGTGTGTGTGTGTGTGTGTGTGTGTGTGTGTGTGTGTGTGTGTGTGTGTGTGTGTGTGTGTGTGTGTGTGTGTGTGTGTGTGTGTGTGTGTGTGTGTGTGTGTGTGTGTGCGTGTGTGTGTGTGCGTGTGTGTGTGTGTGCGTGTGTGTGTGCGTGCGTGCGTGCGTGCGCGTGAGTATACGTGTGCGTGCGTGCTGCGTGCATACATGCGTACGCTTGCGACACGGACCTGAGGATCTGCCAGGTGGGACTTTGGGAGGATCACGGATGGCCGGCGCAAGAGAAAGGCAACCCTCGCGACTACAGCACTGACACGCCTCGTAAAACAATCCAGGCGACCCGGGCTTCATAACGATGTATGTTGTAAGTGCATATGGTAAAATGATGGCATAACTGTGTCGTGAAACTGAGCAAAAGCATTTGTGTTGATTTGATTATATAGTGGGATGATGGTCCATGTGTGTTTTTGAAAGGGAACGTGAACTTCTTTTGGCTGTTTAAAACAAATTGAGGCAGAGGTATTTCTTTCAAACTTTTCACCTTTCCGTCGCCTTAAGTGCTTTCCATACTTAGAATCATCACAATATTTTTCCTGACTTACTGAAACTCAGTGTCCTAGAACTGCCGACTTTGGGTGCAAAGCAACACCCGATGAGGAGGAATTTTTCACTCCTTTTCCCCATATTTTATGTGAATTTTTCACGCCTGCCTCACCTTGTCTAATCGCACATCACAAACCCCCATTTCCCTTCATGAGGTTTTCAGAAGTCATCCAAAACCGAGCTCACTTAAACCACCAAGCATAAACGATGCTCCACAGAACCTGGATACCTATGGCTGTGTCCTGCCTCACCTACATCTGAATCATGCCTATGTATGCACAGAGCAAAGGCGCCAGTTACCTCCGAGCCCAAGAATCCCAGCAACCCCGGCCGCTTGCGCGCATTAAGTTTGGTTTATTTCCAAAATGCACTACAATCTGCAGCTGTGCTCCAAATGCAAGGCTTTCACGCATCCCATATTTTTGTTGGTCTCATCATCACACCACGAAAGCAGAACCCGACGCAAACACCAGCAAGGGCCAGAAGAGAATTTTACTCCACGTATTTCTTTCTTCCCGAGGAAACTTGACCACTAAATTGCATTACTCCCGAAATGCCGGAGTAAAAAGTTCAGGAAATGTCTTCTAAATTTGTCTTACAAGATAAATATCACCATTTGATCACTTCTAAATAACAGATTTTAAGTGAGATCGGCTGATTACAAATTTTTGCGAGAAAAGTACCAGTCTTTATATTTATTTAGCTACTTTTGCTTTTATTGGTGTCATACGAGTGTGATGCCACTTTACTCTTCCTTCCTTTTTGATTGCCTTAAGAGGTACCATCTGCTACGTCAATTTTTGACCAATTTCTCTGCAAGACGCTCTAACTGCAAACTTGCACGTATTCTTACATAAATTGGAGTAATTCGCCAGCCGCCCAAACATGTTTGATATGCACCCAAGCGCGAACAATTTGCAAGGAATGAAGGAGATAATTTGAAACGCGAAACCGATTTTTAACGCCATTTTTGCCCTCTTAAACCCTCGGTTAACCTTTTCCTCGGTTCATGGCGGTGCTCAATAATGATAAATCTAACCCTTTCGAGTGTCTGACTCACCAGGCTACCTGGCAAGGCTATGCTAGTGCTGCCATACAGAGCCTTAGGACAGACCTGACGCAGCCAATACAGAACTGTTTGATGTCGAAATTCTGCCTTCTGGAGATGTTTATCATGCACACCCCTTGCTTGTTCGCATTTTAGTCCCGTAGGTTGGTGGTATTGATTGATATTTATATTTGGGGGTGGGTGGGATGACTCTGTCTGCCAGCAGACCATGAAAAAGATACTGAATTTTTGTTTTGTTGAGCCCGTGCCGCACTGCGCGTAAAACGCTCGCGGTGGAGATTTTTCTTCTTCTAAAAGAGGTGAAGTACTTGAAGAAAACCCAGATGTTTTCTATAGTTGGCATGGTTTGCCGGCTGGCAAATGACCACTGTATATACACACTGTATTTTTAACATAGGGGTACTCTAAGCTGCATAGCAATTATAACATGAGTTAAATACTTGCATGTAACAAATAAGCAGGCCATCCAATTTGAAATGTGAAGCCAACATCTCAAACTTTGTCAATAAATATGAATAAACAAGCCTAAATAGATGCCTTTCCTGCAGCTGAAAAGGCAAGCAGCAATACTGGCATGGTCATCTAAAGGTTATGTTACTTTTGAAGAAGAGGGATTGTTTCATGGAGAATTCCCATTATTGCTCTTGACATGGGCTAACCATGGCAATCAAAATAAGTTGTTCAAAGTGATTTAAAGTATTTTGATTTGTGTGTTGTAAACTTTGATGTCAACAAGCATACAAAAATAAGCTGGATAGCCTTCTTTACATTAGACATGGTTAGACTGCTTTCATGGAATAAGCATTGGTATTTTGTAAGAAACAATGGCAAAATGTTTGTTTTCCGTGACCCGATCTTAACAAAACCCAGAGGTATGTCTATTATGTTTGACTTGGTGATGGGCTGATGTGTAGGAGTACTTCTTCTTTTTTCTTAAGTGTTTTATGCCTGTCGAATTTTCTGTTCTTATTTTGTATTGAATTCCTTTGCTTTGTTTTGTGTTAAAGTGCTGTGGAAGGGAAGTGCAAAGTACAGCATGAAATGATTGGTGTTAATAATTGTTTATGCTCATTACACTGTCATGAAATTACTGTTTTAATGTATTCTGTTTCACTTAAATGTCTTAAGATGTTAAAAACCAAACAGTTTTGTCAGGTTTATATTACATCCATGCCAACTTGAAATAGATGTCTTTGTTTGCTGAAGCATCAGTCACGCACTCATAAGTTCCATCTTTTGTGAATTGATTTTTTCACTCCTGCATGGTCTTTTTTGATAGAATGTTTCACTTCCACCCTAGTTCAAAAGCAATTCTAGCTCGCTGCTGAAACTACATAGCAGCTTAGGAAGCAGTTCTGTGTGCACGTCGCCCGCGCTGCTCTGTGCCAACCCGCCCGCCCTCCTCCGCATCCCAGTTCAACTGGTACACAAAGCGTGGCATCCTGGCGCTGGTGTACAAGTCGACCGAACTGCGCCTGCTGACTGACACGTCTGATGACTTCACCGAGACCTGGGCCTTCCTGGACCGACGGCTGGCTGAAGCTGTGGCGGCTGGCCGCTGCGCCCGCCAGCTGCGCGAGGCGGCGCCGCAGGCCGCCACCGCCGCCGCCGTCATCCTCAGCACGGTGCGTCGGGTGGCGCCGCGGAAGGCCGGCCGGTGGTGCGGTCACCAGGGCTTAAAGGTTTGGCATTGACGGGAATACCATCACTGAAATGACATGGTTACCACGCGAAGAAAAACATTGTCGGGTTTTGGGGGAGGAGGGGTCACTGCGCTCGGTTACCCCCCACTATTCCGCCTATGGGCACGGTGGGTTGAAAGGTAGCTCAGGCTTGAGGGTGGTTAGTTGGGATGAGCGTTGGTGAGGTGGGCTGAGCGGGGTTGCGCACCGGCTGGACTGTAGGCCCTGATTGGACAGGGCCCCGAAGAGCGGGATGCTGGTTCGTTGGGTTAGACTGTGGCTCTTTGGGTCAGACGGTGACTCGCTGGTTAGGACGGTGGCTCGTTGAGTTAGACGGTGGCTCGTTGAGTTAGACGGTGGCTCGTTGGGTTAGACGGTGGCTCGTTGGGTTAGACGGTGTCTCATTGAGTTAGGCGATGGCTCGTTAGGTTGGACGGTGGCTCGTTGGGTTAGACGGTAGCTCGTTAGGTTAGACGGCGGCTCGTTGGGTTAGACGGCGGCTCTTTGGTTAGACGGTGGCTCGTTCGGTTAGACGGCGGCTCGCTGAGTTAGACGGTCGCTCGTTGAGTTAGACGATGGCTCGTTGGGTTAGACGGTTGTTCGGTTGGCTGGACGATGGCATGGTGGCTTCGACAATGCAACCTGCACTGAATGATGCCGCGATGGGTCAGGCGGCGGTGCGATGAGTTGAGGGTGGCCCGCATCTGGTTGGGATTGCGTTTTGTTGACGTCCAGTCCTGAGCGGGACAAGTGGTATGCTCCAATTTGCCACGTATGCAGCACGTGTTTTGGGCGCCACGCTTGTGCTAGCCAGCCGACGCCGTGCTGTTGTTGCCCCGCGGGCAATGGGCACTTCCCCTTATAGTGGCTTCCCAGCATCCCCTGTTCAGGCCGGGAATGGTCGAAGTAGTCTGGGCCGATGAGGTGCGTGCTCATGCGTTTTAAAAATCCCCGCGTCACCCCACCCTAGCTGTGCCGCCCTGCGCTAATGGAACACGAGAGGGCCCCACGGACATCCCGCCGCCGGCACGTGACCGCTCACTGCGTTTCAGGCGGCCAACATGGTAGGCCTGAACTCTAAACGGTAGGGCACCGCAGCTCCACGCAGTCAGCCGTAGAAATGAGGCACGACGGCCGGCATGCGCACGGAGGAGCAGCCGCCGGCCGCCCGGCCACAGGCCTCACTCTGGCGTGTCCCCGTCGCTCTCTCCCTCCCCTGCTGTGGTAGGTGTCGGTGCCCGAACCACGGTGCCCCTTACGGCGATGCGCGAGCTCGTGCGCGCCGGCGTGAATGACGTCTGATGGGGCGTGAAGTCCAGGAGAGAAACTAAGCCAAATACAAAATATGGTGCGAATGTGTTTTCAAAACAGTGATGGAATCGTTGCTGTGACCAGCATCGTGACGAGGCAGGTTTGCGCGATTTTATTAGGTTTGACATCCCATGATGTAACGTTTAACACGGCACACACCTACAAACACCGAACTGTTGCCACGAATGGGTGGCATAAAGCTCCATAAAAGACAGTTCGTTTGAACGTGCAGGGTAATATCACTTGAGTTTGACATGCACTGTAAATAGACAAATATTATATGGACGATATAACTGAGGGTAAACGCTGTTGCGTCGGCCCGAAATGAGCCTCTTCAACCAGTGGAATAGATCAAAGCATCACCAATGGCCAGCACATCCCAACAAAGTTGGGATAGTACGGCATTCAGCTGAATGCTGCCCGAACCAAACCAGCCGGGAGCAAACACTGACATCTGGAAACGACATACGTTGATCCAGACCGAATGTGGTACCTGTGCGGCTGCCTAGTCCAGCAGAGGCTCGGCTCCCCGGCTAACGATGATCCCTGTACACGGGCGCTCCCCGCACCACGGGCAGCACGATACAACATGTCGCCACGCGCATGTACGGCGCGACGCTAACGCGTGTGGAGCACACTACCAGGAAGCGAATCGGAAGCAAACAAAACGACGCGGCTGCGGAAGGAGTATTCAGTGCGGGCGGACTTCCAGGTGCTGGTTACAGCATCTTCGCACACAGCCCGACGCGACCACGCCAGCCAAACGGCCCGATGGGCCGCTCCGCTAAACGGCGCTCATTCTTCACACAGCGGCAGCCGAACTGCGCCGGCGGGGAGTGTGCAATTCACAGCCCAAGTCCTTACCGGTGCTGGGGAGTCAGCGCCCGGTCCGCACATGTACATTACACCAACTACGGCTGTGTCGCGCGACTGCGTCCCGCGAGTCGGCATTGAATCTGAGGCCTGAGATCCTAAGTACATCGGTCTGGTTAGTTATCTGGACGACTAAAAGACAAGACCTGGCGTTGGCGTTGTCCCACAGAGCAACATGGGCGGCGTGGGTACACCCGATGTCATGATAACCGACGGTTAAACACAATAACAGCCCGGTACAGGCCAGACGGTCCCGGCAAAAGACGACTCTCGACAACACATCTTTTTACCGCCCGCTGGGCCAAAAGCAAAACACCATACCCGCATACCAGCCAAACACCTGAGGAACCCAACATGCTCGTCGCTACACCGGTAAGCATGCCAATAGGTACCGACCACATGACAAACGTATCACACATTTTCCATCCCCACAGACCACACTCACAATCACGCTGCGCGGCAGCAAACTCGGCTACGACCCGACATCGACATCCGGGGTGTCGACGTTAAGGGGTCACGCACCCACTAAAGCCCACCCGGGACCTTGGGACTACGAGAAGTCACGGACATCCGAGGTCCGGACCTGGGTGCGGCACGCACCGGCCGCGGCCCGAGGCGACCGGGCCGCTTCCGACCAGTGACCGGTTTCCGACCGGTCCCCCAGCTCACACGATCGCCTGCATCTTGCTGCCGACCTCGGGGAACAGCTCGGTGATGAAGGACTCCAGGATGGTGTAGAAGAGGTGCTTGTTAAGCCGCACGTCCTGCAGCGTCTCGAACGCCTTGACGCCACCCAGACGCGAGTTGTGCAGCCCCAGCAGGTTTGTCAGCAGCTCGGGTACGTTGTTCACCAGCAGCTCTCGCGTCTCCTGCCTGCGCGGGGCGTGCGAGAACAGAGCGACCGTCACGGGGTGCGGTCGCCGGCTCAGTCAGGTCATGTACGTCACCTGGGACACAAGCAACCCGGCAGACGATGTTTCCAAGTCACAGCTCTCTACAAGTACCTCTAGGCACACCTACCTTGGCCATACTTCTGTCGCTTTTTGAGTGCTGAAGCCATTCTAATTGCGCTGGAGATCGCCGCAATGAGTGGCGGTCGAGCGGGTACACTCTGTAGCCCATTGACGTATGCGACCCCCATCCTCACCACCAGCCGGTGGTCTCTGCCGTCCCACGCCAGCCGCCGGCACTCGGTCACCTGGTGCTGGCCATCTGCTGCTCGGAGCGGGCCGGTCGTGGCGGCGCCAGCTTGCCGCCCGGCCAGCACGCTTCACGCAGTGTGGTGAGGTAGAAGAGCAGCTGCGGCTCCGAAAAGCCCCACGACAGCATGTCGCGGATCTGGCGGCTGATGGTGCGTCCGTACGTGATCTGCACGAACGACATGAGCGTCTTGCGCAGCCACTTGCCCGACAGGTCGAACACCTGCCAGGAGGTGTCGGTGCGTCAGACGGGCGCGGCCGACTGTAGCGGCTGGCTGCCGGCACGCACACGGATGCATGACCATGCAAAGATGATTCTGGGCAAAATCAGCAGTGATGACAGCGGAAGAATATCCACCAACCCTCTGTACGCACATCAGCTGACACCTTATTTCCCCCGTCACAGCTGTAATTCTATGAAAAGCTTTCACATAGCTCTCATAGAACCCGTGACATCGTGAGATTTCTATACGCTAAATCACTACAAACATCATTTAGACCACTACAAATGCGTCATATTTCGACTTTTGCCAACGCTCATGATGGTGCGTGGCACCAGCGACACGTCACGAGCGCAGCTTCGGCACCCGTCAGCAAGCCTGCATCCGCATCCGCATCCGCATCCGGCTCCGGCTCTGGCTCTGGCTCCCGCTCCGGCTCCGGCCCGGCTCCGGCTCCAGCCCTGGCTCCGGCTCCGGCTCCGGCTCCAGCCCTGGCTCCGGCTCCGGCTCCGGCTCCGGCTCCGGATCCGGCTCCGGCTCCGGCTCCGGCTCCGGCTCCGGCTCCGGCCCGACTCCGACTCCGGCCCTGGCACCGACGCGGCGCCACCGAGCCGCCGCCACCGGCCAGCGGCCCACCCACCTCGGCGATGAGTCCATATAGCGGCTCGGCGAAGTCGTCGCGCACCTCAGGCCGCGTGTCCGCCCCGTCCAGGAACAGGATGTCGTCCTCGTCACTCTCGACGCCGGCCTCATCCGAACCGGGACCCGAGCTGGCCGGCACCGACAGGAGCTCATCAGTCGGGCCAGCGAGTCAGGCTGACGACTGCGGGAAGGGACGGCGACAGGCTAACAGCCTCGGGAAGGGGCGGGCTCGGGTTGACAACCTTGGGCAGGGGCCGGCTCGAGGCGGAGGCCGGCTGACGACCTCAGGCGAGGGCGGGAGGCCTCAGCCTGGATGGCATCAGGCTGACCATCGTGCGTGACCTAGTTACTCCCCCTCCCCCCGACCTAACACAAGGCAAAGTCGTCGCTGTCAACCGGTCACGGGGTCAAGGCTTCTTGCTGACACGGCGTAAGGTCAGGGTACCACTCTAGACCCCTCACAGCGGGAATGATCAGGGAACAGCCGGCGACTCCAACTACCCTAGCAGAAGCAGCTCAGTAACATCAGCCCGTATGAAGTTATCACCGTATTGTAAGCCTTTGACGGCAACTTCACCGACAGCAAACAGAGGCGACTGTCGGTTGATGACAATGCCCACTGCTGTAACGCGACGCCACTATCGCATCTGGTTGACCTCCTGTGCGCCAAATACCCTTTGAACATAGAGAAGAAGGTGAATTTTTTCTGCGACGTGCCGGGGAAGAGCAGGTGCTCCGGGCTGGGGCTAAGGAATGTGTAGATGACCTCGCTCTTGTTCAGACGCTGGTCAGCCAGCACCATCTGGTGAGAGGAGGGACAGTCTAATCAGCACAGAGTTCGGATGGCAGGCCCAAGCTCAGAGGGCAGCTGGTGCGCGACCGATAATGGAAAAACTTTTACGTGTCAGGCTGGTGCAGTTTTCATGCTACTCTGAATGCACAAGCCTCATGCTGCCTTTAGATATGGGTACCCCATGTTAAACGCGAGGCAAGGATAGCTACAGAATAATTCATGTTAGACAACCACGTATCAGCTTCCAAAAACAGCAAAACACGACTAATGAAATTACCTTCATGAAAGTAGCTGGGCATTTAGCGCCTGTTTTCGCATCCAACCAGACGACCTATCCACACACAAGCATCAAGCAAACAGCAGCCGACCACCGACCAGCAGGCTCACTCTGGCGGCCACAGCCGCAGTGTAAGCCCACCGGCCCCAGTGCCGGAAGACCACCAGACTCACCGTCAGATAGCTCTGTACTTTGATCTTGGCGCGCTCCAGGAAGTCGCGGTCGCAGCCCTTGCTGAACAGCGACTTGCTGGGCAGCGGCGGCAGCTCTGCCGCCTTCAGCGCCGGCGAGATCTGACTGCGGGGCCGAGAGAAGCCTGGCTTCAGCGTCGGCACACGGGTGACGCACCGACAACACCCAGTCAATGCGTAAACAGCGGCACTCCGAGCCGACACAGGGAGCAGCGTGCTCCTGGCACGAGATGAGAAGACGTGCTCAGAGACATGAGACGCATGGCCATGGACAAGTGGACATGTGCTGGGTGAAGAGGCCTACGGAGCCCACCGGCATAACATGCCCATATCCCCATGGCCAGTTCACATAGAGCTGGCTATTCCATGATAGTTACGACACAAGCAAGGGCTTTCCACGGCAGTGCCACCGCGCATGCTAGCTGCGTCTGCGACAGCAGCCGTCCTGCTGTCCGGCAAGCCGACGGCGTGCGCTCGGCGCCGCCGTTCTCACCTGAGTTTGGAGTGCACGTGCAGAAGGTCGGTGAGGCGGCGGATCACCACCCAGCCGTGCTGGTTGTCGAGTAGCGAGTCGAGCGGCCTCTTGGCGGCGGCCGGGTCGTCTGGCGAGGCGGGCTCCGGCGCGCCGGAGCTCGTCTCGCCCGCCTCCGCGGCCGCCGCCACCAGGTACACGACCAGCACGAACACGGGCACGTCCTTCTCCTCCAGTACCTGCCGCGGGGGACACCAGGTGCACTGCACGTGCGAACACAGGTACGTCCTTCTCCTCCAGTACCTGCCGCGGGGGACACCAGGTGCACTGCACGTGTGAACACGGGCACGTTCTTCTCTTCCCCTCGCGGGGGGGGGGGGACGCCAGGTACACTGCGCGTGCGAACACGGGCAAGGTCAGCCGTCCATCCTCGACCGCCCACACTCGGTGCTGTCGAAGGTGACTGACTAACATATATTCCATACAGAAGATGACAATACACAAAGCACGCCAAAGTCGCTCATAGCTCATCCATGACCCACCGGCGACTACAGGGCTCACTGGTGACACCAGCCGCCTGGGAGTGCTGCCTCGGCTGGAGAATGCACCCGGAGCCCCAGGTGGGGGTCCGAGTGCCCCCCCCCCCCCCCCCAGCGGCCGGGTTGTCACCTCTGCCGAGTGTACGTCAGCCGTCCAGTGGCCCAGGTGCTGGGTCCAGACGTCGGTACGCTCGATGTGCGCCTCCAGCTCGCGGCGCTCTCCAGCCAGATTCTCCACCTCCTGCTCCAGGGTCGAGACCATCTTGAGGTCGGGCCGCGTGCCCGATCGCATAGCCTCCAGCGCCTGCTGGCACAGCCCAATCTGCCGGGGTCAGCCGGCCCAGCTGGGGTTGCCGCTGGGTGGGGGAAGGGCATGGGATTGTGCTAGACATGGCGGCAGAAGGCGCGAATATAAAACAGGCACTACAGATCCACCAGGACAGCAGAGCAGTATCAAAATACCGTGTTACGTAATGCGTCAATCTTTACAAAACACGGATGATCGACAGCTGGCGGTTCAGGAGTCAATGGAGAGAGTTACCATAATCTCCCAAGCAACAAACAATTACCAGCTAGTGACATAACAGTGCCTGCCATCGTTCCATCAATTATCACTTCGCCAGCACGTCGCAACCACTAATGCAGACGTTCCCAAGCCCAGTTACCATACACCCTCAAACGTGAAAGTGACGCGCTTCTGTGGACCCCGTCAGAAGACATGCCCCACTGAGGAGGTGGCGCCACCAGCGAGAAGAGTGCCTCCCTTACCTGGGACTTGGTGCGCAACTTCTCCGTCAGCTGGTCCAGCTTCAATCGGGCGAAGGAGGAGTGGTCCGAGAGGTTGGTGTCACCCACCTCAGCGCCCAGCCCCTCCTGGTGGTCATCCGGCAGCGCTGCAGACACGGCAGCGCGCTCACGAACGGCACACTGGACAGGTGACGCTGGACAGGGCCCCAAAGGGTCCGTCCTGTATGTCACACCAGCTGTCCTCCACTCAAGGCATCAGACATACACTAAACCAAACCCTCTGGGGAAACCAGGACAGCCACGACAATGCAATCCGTTCGGACGAGACGCGGACAACAAGGTGGGGAGAGATCGCGATCAGACGATGCGATCACGCGGCGAGCTGACCACGGCACAGGCAGCGCGTTTCACCAAGCATGTGACAGCCAACACGATGCTGCACTGGTGTGTTGGGGCATGCATGCTCACAGACGGAAGGGAATGCCGCGCTTGACATCGCAACAGCAAGAATACAAATCAAGAACACAGCAGACCGTGTGGTGCACACGACAGATGGGAGCACAATGCATACAGACCACGCACGCATACGGCTTTGGCGGGCCACGCAACACCCAACACGACCTAGTCCAATTAAATACGCGCACCTATCATTCACTTACAGACATGTAGCTGGTATGGTTTAGTGTGAACCCCAGCAGGCATGCAGTGTGAATCACAGCGGGTCAGACGGCACGTGACATCTCCGCCTAGTGCCGGCCGGTCAGACTCACCGACCGTGGCGTTGATGAAGTCGATGCCGGCCTCCTCCGCGTCGAGCATCATCTTGTTGTAGAGCGGACTGACAAGGAAGCGGTGGTAGTGCGTGTGCTCCAGCTGGGACTGCACCTCGTCCTGCAGCTCCAGGAAGATCTCCGGGCCGCGGTCACCGATCAGGAAACTCTCGATGCGTTTCAGCGATACCTGGCCGGACGGCGAGTGCGGTGAGGGGTGCGGCTGCCGCTGCTACGACTCGAAGTGGGGGTGAGGGGTGCGGCTGCCGCTGCCACGACTCGAAGTGAGGGTGAGGGGTGCGGCTATGGCTGCCACGACTCGAAGTGAGGGTGAGGGGTGCGGCTGTGGCTGCCACGACTCGAAATGAGGGTGAGGGGTGCGGCTGCCGCTGCCATGACTCGAAGTGAGGGTGAGGAGTGCGGCTGCCGCTGCCACGGCTCGAAGTGAGGGTGAGGGGTGCGGCTGCCGCTGCCACGACTCGAACGGTACGAGATATAATGCCGAGTGCCACCACTGTTCAGGCATAGCCAATGATCAAGCTTAAGATGAAACGTGGAGACGGCGCCAGGGTGGTGCTTCATGAGCACTTCGACAGGCGCTGAATTATGCCAGCGCAACGCAGGCGGCGCCATCTTACAATAAGCGAAACAAACAACGTTATGGAACGACCGTGAGGAGCTTGAAACGGTCATATCGCATCACTGTTTCCATAAACATGCACTCCAGATCCGGCCATTTCGCATGTAAACCCCAGTACAATATTCCTATTGTACGCTACAGACAGCTAAACGCAGCCTTTGCCGCAGCTCTCCGTCTATAACAGAACACCCTCCACGGCCGGAAGGTCCCACCTCTTGGCGTTCACACTCTGACGGACCTTGTCCAGCCGGATAACGCCGTACTTGCCGGCCAGGTACGTCTGGTAGATCTCTGCGCCGAGCGCGTGCATCAACTGTTTGCGGCACGTCCTCAGCTCGTTCACGGCGTTCCAGAAGAGCAGCAGATTCTCTTGGCCCTCGGACTCGAGGTAGCGCAGCAGGTAGCGGCGAGCATACGCCGACTCCATGATAACGCCGAACGACAGCACCTGCAGGACCGTGCTGAGCTTCAGCGCGAGTCCGGTGCCGTACGAGGACGTATGCCATCAACACTTAACATCAAAATGGATTCCTTAAATTAAAAAGAAAAAAAAGCAAAATTCGTGGAAAGACGAAGCTCAACAACGATATCCGCGCTTGGAAACAAATAGCTTGGCCGCAGATATTGTCATATAAGCCAGCAGTCACGGTGGCTTTTCACACCTGCTCACAACGAACCCAACGCCGCACAAGACAGTGAAACATTGTGTCCAATGATTCTTTAAATGGCCTAAGCTTAGGCCTGGTGAAGAGGCTGCTGAAACTCTGGCAGGACGAATGCAAATTTACCTTCCTGCCGATCAGCTGCGAGTCGGATGACTCCGGAGAGTCGATCTCGGTGAGGTACCCCATCCCGCCTACGCTCTTAATGCGCTTTTCACACTGGGTCTTGGCGTATGTCAACTGGTTGATGTACCGCTTCAAGTTACGGGCCTGAAAATATCGTGAACGTATGCCAAGTAAATACAATAAAATACGGAAATATCTCCAACGGATATATATATATATATATATATATATATATATATATATATATATATATATAACGGACGTAACGTGACGCACCTGAATGAATAAGCCAGATTCAATGAGCCTTTGAAAATAATTTAGCTGATATGTTGCCAAAAATTTAGTGTCCAACACTTCATACCTTTAAAAATAGTAAACTAATCGTCATTAATCCCTTCATCTCCTTGCGTTCTCCAAAGATCTGTTCGCCCCAACTGTCAATACCAACAGGATAACGCACCGAAGGAAGTCACATCCAGCCTGCCCACACAAGCCATCTCGCTGAAGCACGGTAACCCCATGATTTGATGCGTTGTGCTCAGCCGTCTGCTCAGCTGTCACACCCTCAAATACCACAGCCACGCTTAAATGGAACTTCCTCGCCCGAGCCAGCCCTTCACGCTCTAGACCACAAAAAAAGGTCCAGAGGGGGTCTCTCATCTGCAGCAGGTCACCTTTGGACGCGCCCTGAGGCCTCAGGTCTCTCAGCTGGAGCAAGTGGCCATTGAACACGCTCTGGGGCCTCAGACCTCTCACGTGGAGAAGGTCACGTTTGGACGCACCCTGGGGCCTCAGGTCACTCATCCGGAGCAGGTCACGTTTGGACGCGCCCTGGGCCTCAGGTCTCTCACCTGGAGCAGGTCGCCTTTGGACGTGTTCTGGGGCCTCAGGTCTCTCACCTGGAGCAGGTCGCCTTTGGACGCGCTCTGGGGCCTCAGGTCTCTCACCTGGAGCAGGTCGCCTTTGGACGCGCTCTGGGGCCTCAGGTCCCGGGTCAGCTTCATACCGCGCGCCCGCTTCAAGTTGTTGATGGTTGTCGCCTGCATTATCTCTGTGACGATGTTGAACCTGCGGTCAACAGCATCGCACCTTGCTTCCGATCAAACTGTACATCAGAAGTCATCGGCTCACAGGTCCCGTCATGGATCTGGGATGACTAGGGCGCAGCAACAACGCGCCAACGTAGCGCGTGCCCACCAGCCATTATGGCGTGCCGAACACGTGCTGCCTTCGTGCCTGTCGCGTAGGTCACTGTTGCGAATCGCATATACGACGGTCCAGCGACTTCTGGAGCCTCAAAGATTGCTGCAAAATGCCTCTATCGACACAGTAAAACCGTGGCATACACCACAAGGGCCACCACTCACCAATCTCCAGTTAACAGCTTCCATGACGCTTGAGAATACCGACATGAATCAACACGAATGCATGAATATCTGCAAATTCTACGGCGCAACTTAGCTGGTGTGTAACTTTGGTGGTGTGTGTAACTATATGCGGGTTGGGAGGGGGGGGGGGGGGGGCTAGAGGGACGGAGGGCTGCCCTCTCACTTCAGAACATCTCGCATTAAGCCTACATGGTGTCGTGCGCCGAGATCCGACAGCGAACTTGTCCCGCCCTCAGCCCTGGCGAGAGGCAACCGTCCCGGCTGCAAAAACAAGGCGCGACGCAGACAGCTGGGCGCGACCTCCGCCGACTCCGCACCTGATGTGCTTCAGCTCGTCCACGTCGTTGCTCTCCTGGATGATGCGGATGAAGTCCTCATAGCTGGCGGCGTAGGTGTAGGTGCGCTGGTGGAGCTCGCGCCATAGCTGGTGGTGGTGCACATACTCGTACACCTTCTGGTTGATGAAGTCCGGGTCACAGAGCAGGTCCACAGTGGGCTGCATCACTGTGGGCAGGAACGGCTGGTGTCTAGCGGCGCAGCGCGAGCGCGATCATCGGCTCGACATAGACACGAACGAGGCCAGCGGTGGGGGACGGAGCGTGGCAACCCGGCACGACCATTGGCTCGACAGACACGAACGAGGCCGGCGGTGGGGACGGACCGTGGCCACCTGGCACGTCTGCGGCAGCCGACACATCAGCTCACATTCAGATATGAAAAATGCAACCAGCCACTCGTGCTGATAGCTTTGCCGCACCGACTCTTTTCGACATTTTCCCTCCATGAGCACGGCAGCAGCAACGCGGAAACAGAACGAGACTCGGCATGCACAGTCACGCGTCATGCACTTGTACCATAGATCGCTGCGTGTTCTTATAGCAATGGCATGGGAACAGAATGCGGAAATCAGTTTATATCAGAATCATTATATAAAGACAGACACCAGCTACATATCATTTATATAAAATCAGTTTATACCAGAAGCACAACAGCACAGATGTCCACAAGGCTCCATACTGCACCAATCAAGCGGTCACAGCGAGGTCAACAGGTAGCAACTGGTGATAGAGAACGTCATGGTGCGCAGCGTAGCGCAATAATGCACCGCGCTGTCCGGCGCTCCAATGACGTAAAGAGCAGCCCGTGAGCCGTGCGCTCGCCCACCGGCGGGACTGTATGTATTCTACGGCGCATGCAAACCGAGCGCAACCATGAGTTCACAACGCACATACCCTGGATGGTCGGTATTTCCCGGGTACCTGCAGGGCGGCACTTGGCCTAATAAGCCGATGCCTGCCCCGATTTCTCCCTGAACAGCTGGCCCTCAGCACTGACCCTGACAGGCGAGGATCTCCCTGAGCAGCTGGCGAACAGGCACGCAGCGGGAGTAGTCGGCCGGCAGCAAGATCATGATCACCACCTCTGCCACGCTGCGCAGAAACTGTAGCTCCCGCTCCGGGTTGGCCAGGTAAGAGACGAGCGTGTACATCGGCAGCGTCGTCTTACCATCACTGCGGCCCGGGCGAGAACAGCGGGACGGGGTCAGCGAAGGGGCGGGTGCGGCTCTCCACGCGGCCGGCCCAGTGACGTCATCCCCACGACTGAGTGGCTGGTGACCAGGAACTGACACTCAGGCGGGCAACGGTGATGACACAGAAGCCACCAAACAGCCTGATCCAGGCCAGTGCGCAGGGACTGGCATAACTGGATCACCTACATGAATCATGCTACACACAGAGGGCGGCGGACAGTTCTGACTGAGAGTAACCAAACCGTAACAAGGGGCAGGGGTTATGGACAATGTAATGCTGCTCTAAGAGTATTGTAACACCTTCGAGCCACATACCGTTCACTTCCCTATTTCCCCGTAACCAGCGTGAGGATGGTTCAACAAAAGGCTCACAATGTGTAGCATAATTTATGGACGTTTGAATCTTCTGTGGCTAATATATACACTACCTCATTTCATGGGCGATCCGTATTCTCTGAAAATGCTGCTTTATCTTATTGAAAACGTTGGTGGCAATAAAGTTGACCTCGTCGATAGCTGATAGGCGGTCCCGGAGGCGTCGCAGGGATTCCCATAGCTCGTTCCTGGTCAATGATTGCAACACATAAGCGGGCTTGCTGTCAAGTGCTTACATGGCCACAGCAGCCAGGAATTAGCATTGATATGGACTCAACAATGGAGGAGTAGAAGAGCAAAATACACAGGACAGCATGACACCATTCTTACAATTTTGAGACAGTTGATATAACATAACACCGAAATGTCACACACTATCATGTCCCACATCTTTCTCATCTGTGTAATGTAAAAACACAAAATCATGAGCAGTTACATTTTTTTTCAAAGCAACAGTCTCAGCTAACATAAAAATACAGCACTGTCTCAAAAAGTGTGCCAACCTCAATTGCAACCAACATTAGTATGGTCCCCAAACATGGTTCTGGTGTGATGAAACATACTTGATAAGTTCTGCCTGAGCCTCTGGCTCAGAGGCCAGCTGGGAGTACCAGCTGGTGAAGAAGTCCTCCACAACATGGTTGACAATTTCAGCAATGACTTCATCCACACTCCTGCTGATAATTGGAGGACGCTGGTAACTTTCTGTATTATCTCTCTTGCTGGCAGACTGTAAAGTGAGTAAGGTTGCATGTTTCAGACCCACACAGCAGCAGTTTGGGAGTCTGCATGTAGTGTGAAGCAAAATACAGGGGGGGGGGGGGGACAGAATGCAGGCATCTAAACATAATTGGCATCCTCTGATGGCTTACATGCAAAGCAGAAGTCAAAAGCAATGCTGAAAAGGCCTCATTTCCTGTGATACATTTCATAAATACAACACAATCTATACCCCCACAAATATTATTTAGTTATTTCTGCATAGAACACTTGCATCATTTTTATTTTTGAATCATCCATTACCTTCAAAATGTTTTTCACCAAATCAACAGGAACTGGCCTCTTCACAGGCACCTTCTGCAGTTTCCCAAGCTTCAGATGCACCCAGACAGCCAAAACAGCACCCACCAGTACAGACAGCACACAGGCTATGCCAAACAGAAGCCTGGGCCACCATTCCAAACTCCATGAGGACAGCACACATCCCAACACTACTGCAGCAGTTAGAGCCAGGAGTGGCTGTCTCATTGTAGCATTTCATTGCAGCCCATTATCAAGCAAGGGTGATGTGATTCCAAAAACTTGCAGGAAATATGTTTGGCCTTCTGAATAGCATCAAGTATGACTGCCTGCTGTTTTCTGAAACAGGAAAAGGTAATAAGAACCAGAGGGGTTCCAATCTCAAGGGACATATGAACACTGCTTGATCTCATGCACAGCTTGCTTAACTGGCCACAGCTCCATGTTTAAGGACAAAATCCTATTCAAATGATACTCCAAGAACTGCAAATACAAGCCATGTAGCCACAGTTTACAAAAAATATCATATTATGTTGCATCTAAATGGGAGGTCACCTGAAAATACCATTCATTCTGTTAAATTCACAAAGTACTGCTCTGTATAATAAGATCACAATATGCAAAATACTGATGTGGTCTTTATAAACTGATTCACAGGGCTCAATTATCTCTGTCCAGCCACTTGCATCTCATATCTAGTTGTAAGATTCTACCAAAAACTAAAATCTCAGGTTTCATTTTTTTCAGAATTTAGTTGTGTTGAGAGTTGAGAGCTGTGGGATGGAAGACTCAAACGTATGGAACACAATAGCATGAACATGATCATGACCTTAGCCCACACAATCTAATACATTATCAGTAGATGCAGGTACTATGACATTATTAGATGTGATGGATGATTTGATGCATTAACTTTGTATGGATTCTCAACTGCTCATTAGTGACACATTCAGAACCTTTCCAGAGGGGGCCAAATCAGGTCATTGGGGTCTTTTGATTCATAGGATATCTGCTGGTTGCTTAGGGACCTATACACCTCTTGCTTGCTTAGGGACCTACACACCTCTTGGTTGCTAAGGGACCATTTCAGTGGGCATTTTGAGCACACAACTTTGGAAGCCCTGTGGTCCCCAAATCCACCATGCTAGCCAGCAAAAACCAATTGGCTAAGCTGGATTCTTATAACATAAGAGCCCTGAACCCTGAGCTTGTATATATCAAGCTAAAGCTATGCCCAGATATGCTGTATTTACAAGTTATTTTCATGTAAAAATGATTAGACTGTGTTTGCCCAGAATGGTCTTTGCAACATGATAATTATTTGAAACACTGGTTATCTATATACTGAAATTCATGGCAAACATGTGCCAAACTCTGAGTGCTCAAATTAATGGTGTAAAATCACTGAGATCATTGTTGCAATGTCATTGCTATGCCAGACATGTTCAGCATAGCATACTATTTTTGCAATCTGGCCCACACAGCACCTGTGCCCTGTCTTAGGACGTGATACTATGGATGTAACACCACCATATTTAAGCCACCCATGTATGTTTGCTTTCCACATGCTACAAGGTCAATGGCATTGCTTTGCATTGGCACTAGAGCCCTAGCTTGAACAAAATATACTTATGATGATCATGCAAGCTTGCTCATTAACCACCATACTACTGTGCACTTTCCACAACTGTACATGATATACCAGCTCGATAGGGGATGCAGTTTTTCACATGGTTATCAGCATTATCTCAGTGACTTTCCCCCTCCAACCGGGCAGAAATTTAGAAAACTTCACGTTTACTTTATACGGCGAGTGAAATAATACAATGTGAGCGCAAAATAGAGAGAAAACCGAGTCTTCCCTCAAATCTAGCGGTGCCGCGACTGTCAAATGGCACAAAGTGAATGCAAATGTGTAAAATTGGGGTACAATGACCGCATAACACGGTATAACACACAAGGAGCAAACTTGTAACAAATGTCCTCAGAAATAGCCAGAAAATAAATACTTTACTTTCAGAATTAGCCCAAAAACCACATAATTCTTCCATTATTTTTCTACAAAAGTATCGGCCATGCCCAAATGGCAGCTCTAAATAGAGGCATGAGCGGCGCGTCAAATGGGCTCTTATTTGTTGTTGTTTAGATCGCATAACGCGCTGTTCGTGGTGGTCGCGGTGTTGTTCCGCCGAGTGTCCGTCGGTTGGCGCCGCTGTTGCGTGTGTGATGGCATGTGTGGTGTTATGATACTGATGTAGAGGTCTGAATCTCAATTACATTCAATTCACCTCTAGCCTGGAGTTGGTCAAGAACTCGCTGACATAGGCTCGTGAAAATACGTGCGCGATGTGCGCCGGAATCGACGCTGGCCTGGTTCGAAGTGATTGCGTGGATAACTCTTGAGGATTTCATCGCATACGTCGTTCAGCGGGTGAGTTGTGCCTCAAAATTGGCAAAGCACCATGTGCCATCGATGTGTATCTGATAATTGACTCTGCATTCACTTGTAGATTGTAGTGCGGCCCACCTCATTTTTCAGGGAGATTTGGCCATTGTTCTGTTGCATAAGCTTCTTTTCATTCTTTAGAAGCTGAAAGGTTTTGAATTTGTAACTTTCAGATAAAGGCAACCCATGACTTTTCCATGACAGTTCCCATGGCCATGTTCACTACATTATATCAACTTATCCTGGGCATTTGTATGGTGTGACATATGCTGTATATTGCCCATTTCTTGCAATTGGGGATCTGTTCTTCATAGGGCACCCTGTAAAAATTAATCTGGTCAGGGTGTACTTTCCTACCTAGCATTAGAATAGATCATTGTACACCATTCATCATGTGTAAGGCAGGAAATATCATAAATAATCAAAATAGGTAGATTCATTCTCTCACCTTCAAATTTTTTACAATAACGATGGCAAATTCCAGAGCGCCACGCACGCACAGCAGCCGCGACACCGGCGCCATTACTGCTCATGGTCACAACATTACTGCGCATCAAGCAGCATCAAGAACCATAAAAATTTACTGGGCCAAGGTAACAAGAATCCATTAAATTTGATCCTTGACGCCAATGGGACGATGGGTTCCAGAGGGGTTGGGTGGGGAATGTAAAGCAAAATGAGGACATGGTGGCTAAATAAAAGCTCACTATATGGCACCTATATATGGCATGGAACATGGACACCAATGGGATGCTGGGTTGAAGGGATATAGGGTGGGGAGGTTCGGTTCGGTTAGGCTAGTTTAGGATATGTTCTGGACTATTCTGGCCTGTGTGTTTCCTAAATGTACCTTAACTTGATAACAAACTATTTTGATTGTTTTATTATTGTTACCTTGGTCCCGTAATTTTTTATGGTTCTTGATAAGCAGAAATATTGTACTTACGCAACAACGCAGAAACGGCGCTTGGGAGTCGAGGCGGTGCGATGCGGTGTGTGCAGCGCTCGGGAGCTCGCTATCATATTTATTAACACTGGAGGGAAGGAGCATGATTCTACCTGTTTTGAGATTATTTACGATATTTTCCGCCTTAAACACGACGAATGGTTTACCTTGGTCCCGTACATTTGGTATAGTTCTTGGTAAGCAGAAATATTGTATTTATGCAACGGCAACGCAGGAACGGCGCTGGGGAGTCCAGGCGGTGCGGTGCGCGCGGCGGTCGGAGGCTCGCCATCGTAGTTATTGAATTTCGAAGGTAGGAGCATGATTCTACCTATGTTGGGATAATTTATGATATGTGCCGCCTTAAACACAACAAATGGTGTGCAATGATTTTTTTCTAACATAAGGCATTAATCTTTTCTGCTGGGTGCCTATATAACAGGAATTCTGAACCTTGTGCTTCTGTGTACTAAATTCAGAGCAGGCCAAATTGTGTGGAATTTTCAAATTGTGGTGAAAAACGGTTTTTAGTGTTTTTACTGGACATCACCATGGCAGCAGGTCAGGGTGTACTTTCCTACCTAACGTCAGAACAAAATCATTGGACACCATTTGTTGTTTCTAAGGCAGGACACATCGTAAATAATGATGAAACAGGTAGATTATTGCCTTCAATTTTTTTTTATAATTACGATGGCGAGCTCCCGAGCGCCGCCGCCGAGCATGTATTTTTTGTAGCCTGATTTACAGACAGCCAGCACATTCAAGAGTCACCAGTGGCATTCTCTCATGTCATTGGAGGGTGTTTAACAAAATTCTGAACCCTGCAAATAGTTTTTTTGTAACAGTGTACCTGGAGGTACATTTTTTTGCCAAGGCCTGGCAGGTCATATATACTGATAGACGAACAACTTATACATTGTTGTCAAGATAACAAAGGATTTATTGACTTACCTGTCCCTGGAAGAGTATAAAGTAGGATTACTTAATCAATCAGGCCATGACAGGGTGATGCCTGAATGAATGAAACAGAATATACCTGCCACAGAATGGACTAAATCAAGTCATGAACAGAACAGATTATCTTATGAAGGACAAGTTTGATAGGGCAACATGCGAGGTCTGCATGAAGTTCAGACTGAACAAAATGTGGCTGCTCTGAATATGTGTAATAAAGCAGCAGTATCAAGTGGAATCAGAGCAATAATTTTGTTATGTGTTTGCCATTAGATTGCTCAGAATTTGGCAGATAGCTGCAACTAATTTCAGTGCATTTACAACCAATGCTTTCAGTAATAATGGATATTGTAAACAGGATCCCGAGGGAAGATGTCTAAAAAACTTTACACCAGATCATTTTAGAATTCCTCATCATTTAGCCTGGCCTGTGCTCAGTGTGCACAAGTGCAAGGGCCTATGTACTGATATCGCACAGGCACCCAACATAGTGGATATATGTTAAGTGTACCAGCCTGAATAGTCGGACAAACTCAGGACCTCTCTCAGGAACTGTGCCAGGGTCAGGATCTGAAGAGCAAGAACATTATCAGTGTTGTAAAGGTCAGAGATGTTAAGTGAGGCAGATTTCAATGTACATTAAACAGAGGACTAGTTAATATACCAATTAATAGGTTGTACAAAAGACATGATTAAACCTTCATCAGCATCACACATATCTAACTTCCAGACACAGTTGTATGCTGCTGGTCCTAAAGGTATGTCAACATTGCACGACAGGCGGTAAAGTTGTGTCTGAAAATGTCAGTTTTGCCTCATAGTTCCAGTCTCACAATATGTGCACCTGTCTTCAGCTGTCCAGCTTCTGGCTGATGCTTATTGTTTCCATCCCTTTTAGTGTCATCAGAATGACCTTGTTGTCCTGCCAAACAGCATCATAATGATCCAAATAGCAGATAGAAGTGGTTCTCAAGTTGCAGTGTGGCTGTCAACATGGCACTGTGTAACTAAATGCTGTTCTGACCTGCCAATGCCTGCCAGTGGCCATGTTTAAGCCCTATGGCCAATGTAGAATGCCTTGTTCACTAGAGCATAGAGGGCTTGTGAGAGTATGTTGCCCATCCCAGCTGGTGTGAAAATGTAAGACCATGTTTCGACACTCTACAGGATCCTGTCCTTTCTGGGCTTATCGGGTTAAGAATGTTGTCTCACATTAATGTGACAGCTTTAATTATTTTGGAATGTGTAGCATGGAGCAGCATGGCGAGGTAAGCACAATTAAATTAACTTCAGCTGTGTAATTCCAGTTATTGTTGTGTTATGCTATTGCTTGCTTGCTCTCAAAAAGCTTCAGCAGAACATTTTGGGAGTTTGTTCAAGTTTTGGTGGCCCAGCAATGCAGTGACATAAAAGCAACACTGACTGAGGAGAAAACAAATAGTTGAATTTGCAGAAATGAGTATTTGTATGAGGTCTGTCAACACAGTTGAAAGCAAACTGAAGTCTGCTTGCTTTAAAAAAAATGTACCATATCTACTCTGCTCATAGTATATTAAAAGGTCAGACCAGCTGTTTGTATGTAGTTTTATACTATCTGTGAATCAGTAATGGGCCATGGTGCTGTTGGTCCTTTAGTTACACTGGTATTTAACAAGGAAGTCAGCTAAGATGCATTTTTGTTTTAAAGCTGTTCTTTAACACAACATTCTTCGCCTTTAACTAATAGATGGTTGATGATAAGATGGTGCTCTCTCATGACTACAGATCATGTTATTTCCTGCCATGCTGTGCTGATAATCACCCAAACCAGAATTCATCCAAATTCAACAATTCTCATTGCACAAAGTTATCAAGCAACCCAGACCAAAGTCAAAACAAAAAGCAAAAAAAAGTTGATTTCTATTCATTGTGGTTTATGAGCTGGGTGCACATGCCACATTAGTTAAGGTTGACCCAGTCACCTTGCTTGAAATGCTGATTTTCATGGCACAGAGCATACCCATTTTTATGTGGTGGCTTTTAATATATCTGTGCTTTGGTATTTATTAAATCTAAACATACCAAAGCCCAAAATCATTGGAAAGATAGCAACCTTGTTTCATCACTCTTTTTGTAGGGGTTGGCCTGATGTATGGGTTGACCTGAAGTTCTCTTTTTTAATGGCTGCCTCAGCACAGGATTTATTATTATTTGGGGCAGTATTTCCAGTATTTGTTCCACTTTCCCCTAAGGATAGATCAAGTTATGGTTTCATTACTTCTGAAAACAAAAGGTGCCTTACCATGTATGCATCTGACTATTTGGTTTACCATGTAAACCTTAGTAGACTAAATCATTGTTGGAAAACTTGACATGTCCTGGCATACTGTGTGCCAGGAGATTTTTTCCAGGATTGTGACTAGGTAAAATGAAAGATTTTGTATTCTATCATGATGCAGCAAGAACAGATTTTGGAAAAGCTCATTTTACCTCTTTGTGTCAGGACAAAATAAAACCAGGAGGTGCAACAGCTTGAGACTTGCTGCTTCCATCATGAGCCATGTATTGATATCTGCAAGAGCACAAATCTTGTACCCACCAGCCTAAGGTGCCCCATAGCAAGCAGCCTGTGTCGCCATCTAGGTATATGATAAATCATTTATGGAAATGTGATAAATAAAGTGTGTGAATGTGATGTGAAATGAAAAATAAAGTGTGAAAATGCCTTTGAAGAATACTGGGAAGTGATATATAAATACCAGAATTGCTCCAGTCTGTAGATAAGCAAAGCTCTCACTTCCTATGCCCTACACAGACCAACTCAAACTTGAACATGACTTAACCTACGATTGACAACAAACCACATTAATTCCCAATGATGCAACAAACATTCATAGAAAACCACACGCCCAATCTCGTACCACAGACGGCTGCCTGCCCAAGTGCCACCACTGTGTCATGGCAATGCAAAAAACAGAATCACTCGCAATTCAGCGTCGGAAACGTCTCAACTATTCAGTGGGTTGCGCCCGCCTCCCAGCTCAGCCTGGAGGTTGAACATAGCAAAACTCTCAAATTGGTTTTAGTGATTTGCCTCCTAGTG